GGAATCAGTGTTTGATCAAACTTTAATCTGCACAACCTGTGCTTTCACACAAGTTACTGCTTTTTGGACTGAAAACTTTCCCGGAATATTTTTTAATGTTTTCTCTATATATTCTTATGTAAAAATTCATCCCCCCATTGTGGCCCACCCTACCCCCGGGGACCATGATTTAAACAAACTTGAATCTACACTATATGAGGATGCTTCCACTCCAATTTGAGCTTTTCTGGCCTAATAGGTTTTGAGAAGAAGATTTTTAAAGATTTTCTCTATATATTCCTTTTTAAAATTCATCCCCCCATTGTGGCCCCACCCTACCCCGGGGAACATGATTTAAACAAACTTGAATCTACACTATCTGAGGATGCTTCCACTCCAATTTGAGCTTTTCTGGTCTAATAGTTTTTGAGAAGAAGATTTTTTAAGATTTTCTCTATATATTCCTATGTAAAAATTCTTCCCCCCATTGTGGCCCCACCCTACCCCCAGGGACCATGATTTAAACAAACTTGAGTCTACACTATCTGAGGATGCTTCCACTCTAATTTGAGCTATTCCGGCCTAATAGGTTTTAGAAGAAGATTTTTAAAGATTTTCTCTATATATTCCTTTGTAAAAATTCATCCCCCATTGTGGCCCCACCCTACCCCCGGAACCATGATTTAAACAAACTTGAATCTACACTATCTGAGAATGCTTTCCTCCAATTTGAACTTTACTGGTCTAATAGTTTTTGAGAAGAAGATTTTTTAAGATTTCCTCTATATATTCCCATATAAAAATTCATCCCCCCCATTGTGGCCCCACCCTACCCCGGGAACCATGATTTAAACAAACTTGAATCTACATTATCTGAGAATGCTTTCCCTCCAATTTGAGCTTTACTGGTCTAATAGTTTTTGAGAAGAAGATTTTTTAAGATTTTCTCTATATATTCCATATAAAAATTCATCCCCCCCATTGTGGCCCCACCCTACCCCCGGGGACCATGATTTAAACAAACTTGAATCTACACTATATGAGGATGCTTCCGCTCAAATTGGAGCATTTCTGGCCTTATAGTTTTTGAGAAGAAGATTTTTAAAGATTTTCTCTATATATTCCTTTGTAAAAATTCATCCCCCCATTGTGGCCCCACCCTACCCCCCGGAAACCATGATTTAAACAAACTTGAATCTACACTATCTGAGGATGCTTCCGCTCAAATTGGAGCATTTCTGGTCTAATAGTTTTTTGAGAAGAAGATTTTTTAAGATTTTCTCTATATATTCCTTTGTAAAATACATCCCCCCATTGTGGCCCCACCCTACCCCCCGGAAACCATGATTTAAACAAACTTGAATCTACACTATCTGAGGATGCTTCCGCTCAAATTGGAGCATTTCTGGTCTAATAGTTTTTGAGAAGAAGATTTTTTAAAGATTTTCTCTATATATTCCTTTGTAAAAATTCATACCCCCATTGTGGCCCCACCCTACCCCCGGGGACCATGATTTAAACAAACTTGAATCTACACTATCTGAGGATGCTTCCACTCCAATTTGAGCTTTTCTGGCCTAATAGGTTTTGAGAAGAAGATTTTTAAAGATTTTCTCTATATATTCCTTTGTAAAAATTCATCCCCCCATTGTGGCCCCACCCTAACCCCCCGGAAACCATGATTTAAACAAACTTGAATCTACACTATCTGATGATGCTTCCGCTCAAATTGGAGCTTTTCTGGCCTAATAGTTTTTGAGAAGAAGATTGTTAAAGATTTTCTCTATATATTCCTTTGTAAAAATTCATCCCCCATTGTGGCCCTACCCTTCCCCCGCGGACCATGATTTGAACAATCTTGAATCTACACTACCTGAGGATGCTTCCATACAAGTTACAGCTTTTCTGGCCTAATAGTTTTTGAGAAGAAGATTTTTGAAAAATACCTACAATTTTTTAATAATTCTAAATTATCTCCTCTTTAAAGAGGGTGTGGCTCTTCATTTGAACAAACTTGAATCCCCTTCACCCAGTGATGCTTTGTGCCAAGTTTGGTTGAAATCTGCCCAGTGGTTCTGGAGAAGAAGATGAAAATGTGAAAAGTTTACAACGACAACAACGCAACACCAACGACGACAGACAACGGACAAATTTTGATCAGAAAAGCTCACTTGAGCTTTCACCTCAGGTGAGCTAAAAACTTCTCGAAGTTTTGCTACCTGACAAGCAGTCAGTAACACTAAATTGTGCATCATATATGCATCTTCACAACATCTAATATGTTCAAAATCTTTAGATTGAATCATTTCATTCTCAAATAAAAGAAACTTTCTCAAGTCGTCCAGAATCATCAGAATGAATACTACTTGAACATACTCTATCCGTAATCACCTAAGAACCCCTCCTACCTCATGAATATTCATCATTACCACAAAAGAAAATATTTTCAATCTAAATTACGTTCAAACGAAAGAAAATATATTTCTTATGTAATTCCATCTCCAATAAAACATAACATTGACACCCTATTTTTCTATAATTTTTATTATTCTGTGCATTGACGTTCAATACAAAACGAAAGAAAGATATACGCAATGTTTACAATCCCAAATTTAATGAAACTAACAATCTTGATTCTAATTTGTCTTTGATATACCCATCCTTCGCAGTTTCCGATGCCCACCTCACATGTCTTTTAAACAATCTATCAGGTATACCGGAATTAGCACACACAGTAGCACCCCCTGCCCTTAAACTATGTAACCCATATTTTGAAATATCGGGCACGAAACTTTCAAATGCTTCTATAAACAGTTCTCTCATTCTCGTATGTCAAAGCTTTATTTCGATCCATTCCAAAATTTATATCCCGATTAAGTCTTACTCCTGTCACAAAAAAATAAAATGGGAACAATTTGATAAAAATCCACACCATTTGAAAAACATTTCTAAATTTTTTATGGGACACATTTTACTTTCAGTTCTAGCGATTACCACCCATTGCCCGTCTCTGTAAATATCAGTTTTAATTCTCTCAATGAAAATTACCATGTGACTTTCTTCAAATTTCACATCTGAACATCTTTTCTGATTATAAATATTTTCACTCTGAAAATATTTGTTGTACATTTTCTTCATTAATTCTGCAGTAACGGGTTCTTTTTTTTGTCCTTGGAATAGACAGTTTTCTTTTTTCCAAATCAAACACATTTTTCACAAACTCCAATTCAGTTGGGGAGGATAATCCAATTACGGAATACGCCCAACGAATGCCATAAACAGCTGACGTTAACACACTTACAGCTAGTACTGAAACACCTTAAACTGGCAAGATAAAGATCACTATGCCATTCTTCTTCAACCAATCGTCCTATTTCTAGTAACTTCTATAATAACCTTTCACTGTAGAACTTGCTCTACTTTCGGACAATGATTCCGGTATATCATGAATTTTTTCCGGCAAAATTTCTGGAAGGATGGCTATATCTTGATCATCTGCCTGCAAAAATATTTTTAATTATAAACAAAATCAATTACAGTTGAACTTCGATATCTCGAACACTGATATCTCGAATACAATGGATATGTCGAAGTGATTTGTAACTCCCAACCACTTATTTTAAAGGTATTTTACCCTCGATATCTCGTATACTCGGATATCTCGAAGATTTTAAACAGTCCCATCTAGTTCGAGATAACGAAGTTTGACTGTATATAATACTGTCTACTTATAACACATACGTTATTAAAACATCTCATCATCGACAATCAATGTACAATCCCAGCGTGGGAAAATTTAAGTCAATATTTCCAAACATTGACCCAACACTTAATTCTTCCACTCATAAAAAATTGTTTTTCTTTGGGTAAATAAATAACATTTTTAACAAAATCACAAAACTTCTCTCCATCTGGACAAAGAATTGGCCAAAATTTAGCCGATTTCCGCATTGGAATTATTAAACATCCGAAAGCCTTATATTCCTTAAATTTAGCCAGCACTCTAGCTACTATAAGTATATTGGAGAGCAAAACCACCCATTTTTACCAGACCAAAATTCCTGTAAAAGCATTGATTCCAAAACATTTCACATTCCAGTATCTAGAATATAGAACATTTCTAATTTATGATTACTGTCACTTGCAAACCAATCAACTTTAAAGGGTCCCCACAAATGTTCAAATAATCAAAAATCTGATAAGACACTCCCCAGTCATCTGCATCATTTAAATTACTAATAAAATCTGCCTTCTCATTATGAGATCTTGATATCCATTCTATATCTAACAAAATACCATTTATCAGACAAAACTTATAAACATCCAATGCTATTTTTTGTAAATCCTCTTTCATACTTCCTTTGTTTACAATACTAACAACATTTTCATTATCCGTAAACAACTTTACTCACTTCCCTGCAAGTTCATGACTTAGTGACAACAAAACTCTCAGTACTGCAACTAACTCTCTACAAGTTGAACTTCTACATGACTCTTCTGAATTTCAGGCTCTGTAAGCTACACCATGCATGTTTGCTTTCAACACAATACCCTCCAAATCCATTCCCGCTAGCGTCTGAATAAACTATTTTATCACAAGAAGGCTCCATAAATAAATTTCTAACATTAATACAATAAATGTTATCAATCCAAAATTGAATTTGTTTGATACTCTCATTTGACAATCAAATATATGCATTCCAGGAATAAGCATTCAGTATATATACATCTTGTCATAAAGTTGACAAACTGACCCTATGTCTGTAGACATTGATATAACCTGACCTACAAAACTAGCAACCTTTCTAACAGGAACTGTTTTATGTTTATTCACGACTGATATGATCTCTTAACCAGTTTCCCGCACTTTCTTCAACCTCATCGCAGGTATTGTCAAAACAAACTTAACCGTATCAATTGAATATCCTAGCCAGTCTTAACTCTGAATGGGATTCCACAATGATTTGCTTTAATAGATAAGAAAACCACTCAACTGTAAATCTGCTTGAACAATCTCAGAAATGGATCTTGCTGATTCAAAACCCTGTCCAAAACCTCTACCATCATCCAAGTACATAACAATACATTTTCCCTCTCCTCTCCACTTCTTTACCAAAGGTCTTGTAATTTTAGTAAATATATAAGGAGCCGATTTTAACCCAAACAGTAGAACTAAAAATTTAAAAAACCTCGAGTCTGTTTACCGTTCACAACCCATGAAAAACCTAAGAACTCTGTATGAGGATAAAACATTTCAACATGATGGTACACAGCATGCAAGTCAAAACTAAACATAAATGAATCAATTTTAACATAAACTAAAGCTGTTCTAATATCCTCATACTTAACACTTTGCTTCAAAATATGCAACTTAACACATCTGAGATCTAAGATAAGTCTCTTTTTACCGTTTGATTGAACAGAGACTGTGAGAGGATTTACAATAAATGGTATATCTACACATTCAATTAGCCCGTCTAAATTCTAACAACTCTAAAATTGCCATTTCAACAAATTCACTATGAAGTAATGCTGAATTATTATTTTGCTGAAAACATCTTTGAGGCACACTGTAAAAAAGTGTTTTATATCCATTCTTAATAATTATATGCACGCATATTTTCCCAAAATTGTAAATGTGCTCTTAATTTACCTTTAACTTTAACAGAACACGAATTTTGATTTTGATATTCATGATGTTCAAACTGTTCAAGTAAATACTCATCTTTCACAAACTCTGATGGCTCAGGTTGTGCTCTGCTTTTTGTCTTGTTGTCCCCCACTTGTTCTGCTACGTACAATAAGCGGGCATTCTCTTAATTTGGAAGTGAGTGAAGTCCCCGCACACGTAACACCCATCGTCACAAAAGGGCGTGGTCCCAAACTGTTGTTTCTGCAGAAAAGGTTGCCGTGGCACAAGACGAGTATGATAAGGAACACTCGGAACTTGATTAAGGTAATCCGAGAACGGATTTGGTGCGGTAGAGGAAGGCTTGCTTTTTCCCTGTTCCAGAGTGTCCCTCGATTTAGTCGACATCTTCCTCTTCTTAATGGCACGATTTTCCGCTTTGTAGATTTTACTTTCATTTTCGGAATCACTTGCAATTGGGTTTAAAATATATTGATTCACAGTCTCTCACCCTCCGGAGGATGAATCTGCTATTCTTATATGTTTATTTCTGTCCTTAATTTTTACAGTAGCCTCTTGAATTAATTCTTAAGCATAATCTAGTTTCCCGTTGTCTATTGCCCAGTTATCGCAAATCTTACTTGTAAGTACACGCTACGACCGATGTAGCATTGCATTGAGTGATGACACTTTCTAATCGGTGTGTATTTCAATTGGGATTCGAAATAACGATTCTGATTGGCGCATTTATATAGACCCGCCCGTTTATCAAATGCATACAGTTGAAAACATGATGCTAACACGTGGAAAGATGAAAAACTTCTCATAAAGTTGTACTACCAAGTTAAAAATTACATACAGAGTTATTTGATAACAAACGGGTCAATGTTTACGTACATGTGTAAATAATGTTAATGAAAAGAAAATAAAAAGAAAAGCAATAATATATATAAATATAAAAAATAACTATGTTGAAGCATCCTCTGATATCATAGATTTTACTTTGTCCAAATCATTACCTTTCAGGATAGAGTGGGGCCATATCTAAGGCCGATTCTCCATAGGAAAAAATTCAAAAAAATAATAAATTTTTTTAACTTAAAAAGTTATATGTTACATTCAGATGTTACATATATGTAAGCATCTTGACATATTATTGATTCTCAGTTGTTAAGACTGTGGTCCCACAAGAATATTTGATGTAAGTTTAGGCCTAAAAAAAAAAGTTGTGTGTTTCGGGTAATCCGACCTAACCTACAAAGTTGGCCCGATCCTACCATTTTAGATGTCTGATTTTATCCGATTGTGAATTTTATCTTATTTCCAATAAAAAATACGTTTTTAAATATGAAACAAACAAACATTCTTAGGATTCATACAAAAAAAAATATGATAAAATAAAAAAATAAAAATTTCATCCATAGATAAAACAATTGTAGACTAATTTTGAAATCAATTTTTTTTTAATTAACACTTGTTTATTTCTACATATTGCGAATTATCAACTGATTAAAATGCCACCACGGGGGCCCCAAACGGAGAAATTGAATGACAAGGGCACAAAAAAAAGGGAAAGGGCCCAGGGAGCAGGACCCAATGTATAAGGGATGATGGCCCATCAAACCCGGTGAAAACCAATTCGGAGTCACCAACCATAAAGGGAAACGACCATCCTTTCCCATAGCAGGGAGATTTTTCCCCACAGTCCCATCGATCCACAACATGCTAGGTATGCACGTTAGCAACGCAATTAAACAAAAAATTATAGAAGGGCAGTATATTGATCTGGCCTCTCTATTACCTCCTAGACCTGGTGGGGATGAGAAAAAATTAATTGTAAATAATATGGGGGAAATAATATCCAAGGATGCTAACCCCAAAAATGTTGATACCATAGAACAGTGGACTGATCTCATGTTTATATTTGCTGGGATTTATCTTAGTGGCCACCCTGCTAAATCCATAGAGCTTTTGAAATACATGCATTGTGTTAGGATGGGGGCTAATAAGGGAGCAATGGGATGGAAAGAATACGATGTTCAGTATAGGTTACGTATGGCACATAATCCAGCATCATCATGGGAGGAAGTGGATTCTGAGCTCTGGTTAATGTACATGACCCCAACTTCAACCGTTAATGCTCCTCAAACCCTGCCCAGAGCTACATCCATAGGAAAGTGCTACAACTTCAATTTCAAAGGGTCTTGCGAAAAGTTTCCTTGCACGTACACTCACAGTTGTTTACGTTGTAGCGGCCAGCATGCTATGATACACTGCACTCTTGCTCAAACTCATATGCATAATTTTCATGCCCCCAGATTCCCAACACAACATGCTAACAATCAACCCAGGACACAACAATCGCATTTCAGGGGACCCCAGAACCCCAACAACCTGCGCCCCCGTTTTAAATTTACAAACCCACAAGGTGTGGGGCCTCGGCAAAACCCCTATTAAACTCCCGGCACTTGAGAAGTACTTGTCAGATTATCCAAAAACTCAGACTGCGAAAAAATTATTTTAGGGTTTTCCCAGGGTTTTCAATTATATTACACGGGGCCAAGAATTCATATTCAATAAAAAAATTTGATATCTGCATATGAACATCACAACGAGCTTCGAGAAAAAATAATGAAGGAAGTAGAATTAGGACGGGTTGGGGGGCCATTTCGGGATCTACCAATTTCAAACCTCCGCATATCTCCTATCGGAGTGGTGCCAAAGGGGGACAACTCTGGTTGGAGATTAATAACACACCTCTCATTTCCTAAATTCAATAGCGTAAATTTTTTCAAAGACCCAGAGGAAAGCTCAGTTAAATATACATCTTTTGACTCGGTTATACAGATGATTGCTAAAATTGGTCAGGGGGCATTTATAGCAAAATGCGATATAAAATCAGCTTTTAGACTTTTGCCAATATGTCCAGGGGATTTTGACCTACTTGGTTTTATGTTTGATGATATGTACTACATTGATAAGTGTTTACCAATGGGGTGTTCTGTGTCATGTAAGGTCTTTGAAGAATTTGCAACATTTTTAAACTGGTTGGCAATAATAAAATCTCATGTAGACACAATAGACCACTATTTGGACGACTTCATATTTGCGGGTCACAATGCTTCTGTTTGTAAGGACACCATGTCTACATTTCATAGTATTTGTCATGATCTAGGGGTACCTTTAGCTGAGGATAAAACTGTAGGTCCTACCACTTGCTTAACATTTTTAGGTTTGGAAATCGACACTATTGAAATGCTGGTTAGAGTACCTTATCCAAAATGTGTTGAACTCCAAAATCTTTTAAAACAATTGTTCCCACTCAAAAAAGTCGCACTTAAGCAGTTGCAGTCAGTGCTGGGAAAACTTAATTTCTTTACAAGGGCAATTCGGCCAGGCCGTGCATTTGTACGGCGCCTGTATGACGCCACCATCGGTGTCACGCAACCACATCATTACCTAAGAGTTACTCAATCTATGCGGGAGGATATTTTTATGTAGTGTAGGTTTTTAGAGGATTTTAACGGTGTGGTTTATTTCTTAGAAGAAGAATGGTATTCAGATCAAAATCTCAATTTGTTCACCGATAGCTCAGGGTCTGCTCAACTAGGATGTGGGGCGTATTTGAATGGGGAGTGGTGTTTCTTTAGTTGGCCCAAAAATTGGAAATATATCGATGGGCATCACGACATGACCCTATTAGAGTTTATCCCTGTGGTTTTATCTGTTATCATTTGGGGCAACAAATTAGCCAACAAAAAAATTACATTTCACATAGACAATCATGCATTGGTTGCAGTTTTGAACAAACTAACCTCTAAATCTGAGCTTGTCATGGTATTAGTTAGAGCATTTGTCTTAAAATGCATGCGACACAACATTTTATTTCGTGCTGAATATATTTCAACTAAATCTAATAATATTGCTGATGCCATTTCTCGTAAACAGTGGACCAGGTTTCGCCAGGCCGCACCAAACGCAAGGAGGGACCCCGAACCCATCGCCCAGTCATTTCACAACCTTATTTCAAGTTTGAACTTGATCGGCTGCTAGAAGCTGCAATATCCGATAACACACACAGGGTTCAAAAAGTCGGTTTACTGTCGTATCAAAAATTTTGTCATCAGTTCGCACTTGCATATTGGCCTCCAACACTATGTTCGGTGGTTCAGTACTTATTGCATCTATCAACATCTGGCCTTGCTTATTCAACGGTGCATTCGTATTTGTCTGCAATTTCTTACCACTGCAAGTTACAAGGAATAGGGGACCCAACTTCTCACTTTTTAGTTACAAAGCTTTTGCAGGGCATGAAACGATTAAATCACAATTCTGATACAAGACTGCCTATAACTAAAGACTTGCTTGAAAAAATAATTTTGGTTTTACCCACTACATGCACTAATTCTTATGAAACAAGTCTTTTCTCGGCAGCATTTTCACTGGCATTTCATGGTTTATTTCGCGTCGGTGAATTGACTGTTAAATTCCGAACAATATTGTACTTGGTATGGAAAATCTAACTCTAGACCCTGATAAACAGCTATTGTTAATCAATCTCAAACATTCCAAGACTGACCAGGTAGGAAAAGATACCATTTTGCAAATTGGTAAATCTGAGGGAGTTGCGTGTCCATTCAAGCTTGTTGAGAAATATTTAAGTGTCCGTCCGTTGACTGCAGGGCCCCTTTTTTGTCACTTCGCATACCAAAATTCTAACTCATAGGCTTTGCTTATCTATTGTAGACAAACAAAAAGTGTGGTTAGTGGGGTCCTCAATACTGAAGCATGCTCAATTAGAAGCATTTTTAAGACCTGGAGGTCTTCACCTGAACCTGAAAAGGCTAAATATTTCATTATGGTGGCAGAGGTACAGTGGAGACTTCTATTAGAAAACTCAGGCTAGTTTGCATGAAGCTTTTTCAATTTATTCAAACCAACTTCCCACATTCTAAGGTCATTTGGTCTTGCATACAATGGCGTTATTCTCAAAACTCTCGTGCTATGTAATCACAACGTAAACGCCTTCATTCTTGTGCATCCAGGTTAGCCTTGCGGTATGACGGCGCAATTATCCGCCATCCTGATATAAAGCGTGACTCCTTGTTCTTCTGTGATGGAGTACACTTGTCAAAATTGGCTAATGCTGTTTTCCTAAATACTCTTCAGGGGGGTCTTGAGGCTATCTTAACAAAAGGGCATGCTTGTTATCCGGCTTAGCAAGCTTACCCTAGGGCACGGTTGTAAGTTAAATCCGCTCATACCCCCACACATATGGTGGCGGAGTTCCCAATCTCTTAAGCTCCATAGCTGCTTTCGAGTTTGGGAACTTATGGCGTGAATGAGCGGCGCTGGTCATTCGTAAATTCTTGACTTCTGCACCTCCCAGAGTCAAGGTATTAAACCTGTGAACTTTGAACTTTGAATGAACTTTGAACTTTGTTTGAATTTGTTGAATTATGTTAACTACATGTATGATGTTACTTGATGTGTTGAATTTTGAAATTTGGGGCATGCCCTTTGTCATGTATGGCGGCCCATTACCCTTAAACGGCCGTGCCCAATCATCGCCAGATTTGAAATAAAATTAAAGAAATTTATAAATGTTTTACTATTTGTGTTTTGTTGCGCACTTTTCTGAGATAATATTTACATCCAATTCTTTATGCATTGGTTGGTGTTATCGAAGAAAGGGCCGACACCATTATCTCCCCTTTGTCACGCACTTTATTACTAGAGTTATCTCCCCATTGAATATATAAATTAAAGCCCAAGCCCAATAATCTTTCTTTCACTTCCTGTTGCTGAGAAGATAGGTTGGTTAAGTTAATATTATATTTTTATCTTTGATAAGCACGTGCTGCAAATAACCCACCCATCCCTCCCTTTTGAAAAGGTATCTGCTGGTTGTTCTGTTTTATTTTTCAGAAACCCTGTAAGGACCTGTCATCCGGTACGGCTGTTTTATGCTACATGTGTGCACTTAACACCTGATTGGCATGAATGAGCGGCGCTGGTCATTTCAGACTAGTACATGTATTATTATGTGGACATCGACCCCTGCACCTCCCAAGGGTCAATCGTAAATTCTTGACTTCTGCACCTCCCAGAGTCAAGGTATTAAACATTTGAACTTTGAGTGAACTTGGAATGAACTTTGAACTTTGAGTGAACTTTGAACTTTGTTTGAACTTGTTGAATTATGTGGACTACAGTATGATGTTACTTGATGTGTTGAATTTTGAAATTTGGGGCATGCCCTTTGTCATGTATGGCGGCCCATTACCCTTAAACAGCCGTGCCCAATCATCGCCAGATTTGAAATAAAATTAAAGAAATTTATAAATGTTTTACTATTTGTGTTTTGTTGCGCACTTTTCTGAGATAACATCTGCTATGATAATTACTTTGAAATGAACAAGAAGCAACATATTTTTACCCTTTTATTGTATATATTAATGCATATCAAAAATGTTGAAACACATGTAAAATTTGAACATTTTTCATATAAGGAATTCTCAAATCTGTCTCTAGCTATCAGGGTATGTTTCAATTTCACTTGTATGTCTTCCTGTTTTAGGAAAGGAGACTAGACCCCAGAATAGATAAGATATATGAACTAAATATGATTATTACCTTACCTTTTTTTTTAAGGAAACAAATTAAGAAATCACATGCAGGCCGGGTGGCTTGATTTTTTTGTTGTTGAATAAAAATGTTACAAATCATTCAATTACCAAAAAAGATCAATAAAATTATTTTTAGTATCAGTGATGGTTGTTTTCAAATATGTGTGCATGAGAAATCAGTGACTCAAGGAAATTGACACAAGTTTCATAATTATACATGCATGCATGCAACTAATGCTTTTTATGAAAATCAAAAGAATTAGGGGGAGGGTATACATGTAAATGTATTTCTAAGTGATATGATGCTTTTATCATGATAATATCATGATGTAGATGTATGTAGTACGTAATTTGAATAGGGTTAAAATTCATATTGTAACGTGTAATGTGGGTTCAAACTATGGATAATAATTTTCCCTTAACGTTTCCTACGTTTCTAATTGATTGGAGTAAAATCAACTCTTAAACACTTTTCATCAAATTAAATCAAACACAATGATTCCAATTTGTAATGTATAATTTTCCTTCAGCTATCCTTGTACAACACTTGGTCTGAAACCACTGTTTCAGACCACCGTTTAGACCCTGTTCTGAACCTAGTCCGAACTTATTTATTTCTGAGTCTATGCTCCTGGACTATATGATATACTCTAATGTTTCAAATGGTCCACCTGCAGTATTTTGGGGTCCCTCAAATGAAACATAAACCGTACCTACGATTATCGCTGTAACTCTGCTCTCTGAATGAAGTCTTCTCTCCTCTGCGTCTACCAGCAGACTAACAACTATGCGCAGACGCGCTTCCTATTTATACCCTTCGTCAAGTCT